CTGCTTTGTTTCTTGTATCATTTTTTGAAAGACTAGGAATAATTTTACTATGGCAAAGCTGCTGTGTGAAATTATAAATTAAATGTTACAGACCATGGTTGACTCCACTTAAAATGGTTTGTTTGCATCTGAGGAATAAATATGTATCTTTTCTTACCAACCCATCTGTTCCTTCAGTTTCTCAGATCCCTTTGCTATGTACGGCTTAGACTATGGAAGATGTTTGTGTTACTCATTTCTGTGGAATGAAATGTATGTTGTATATCGTGTCTTGTACACAATTTTATTTTTCGAGCTGAAAGCAGTCTAGATACTCCACAGGTAAAATATGCACAGTGGGTTTTGGTTAGTTAGAGAAAATAAAAAATAAAAAAACCCCAAACCACTAAAGTGCAAGCTCTGTGATTCCACAACTTTCGTGTTATTTTTATGATGTAAATTCTTACTCATGTTTCTGAAAATATTAAGATGAAATTTTGTGTTATGTGAACTTCCGTTGGGGATCTCTAATACATTTGCTGTTTTCTGGAACCATAGTTTTCCTGAAAAATCAAACTTGTAAGGTGGTCTTGGAATATTTAGGTCCTGCATGTGAAAACTGTGTTCCAACCAGAAGGTTTGTGTAAGCAGCTTTTTCCAACTTGTTTTAATTTTCCAATAATTTTGTCCAACATAATTTCCAGCTGCCGTGTGTCTTCAGTCGTCTTGGACATTAGTATTTCAGAAAAACCAGGGGAAACCTGCTGTTCTGTAAGCCACTTGAAAATTGCAGGTGATACAAAGTATATAAGAATAAAGCTCTATAGAGTGCCAGAGTAGTTTTAACTGCGAGTTGCAGGTTCTGCTGTTATTTCAATCTTCCTTGCACTTTTCAACTATTGATTGAAACTGGTGTGCGGCTGGATAGAAAACTTCCTGCAGTTCTGTGCAGTGGACATATTTTACTGTATCTGTAGAGCAAATTTAGGCCCTAATTAGGAAGAGCAGAGATAGTTCCATGCAATAAACTTCTTGTAAATAACTTCTTGCTTTACCCATTTAGCAGAACGATCGTGATCCTCGCTTGAGAGAGAGAGCAGTTGCCAGAAATTCTCTACTAGACCAATGTAGTAAAATCCTTCCTACAGTTCAAAGGAAGCTGGCTGTAGAGAGAACCAAGCCTTACCGTGTGCCTTCATCGGTCTTAAGAGAAGGTAACTTTTAGAGGGGGGAATTATTGACAACCAGCCATCACCTTGATTACACAAGGCTGGTATTTTTTCCCTCTTGCTTTACAGTCCCAAGGCCAAAGGCATTATCAGCAGTAACACGACAGGCTAATGCAGGAAATGTGCACACACGAGCAGCTTTCATCGGTAAAGTATTGTCCAAATTTAGAGAAGTATGGTTGGGAAATGAGCAGAAAACAAGTATCTCACAATATTACAGGTAAGCAGCCTTTTCACAAAGTTTAGTCTTGAGCTACATTTTTGGGGGAAGAGAGAATGAAAGAGAGAAATTTGAATTATGTTAGGGTTTTGGTGTGAAGGTACATGTGAATAAAGCTTTGTTTCACTTCTTTTGCACATACAATATATAACATTTATGAATCAATCAGAACTAATATTTAGAGAAACTGTTTTGGTATGACAATCTTACTTATGCAAATACATGTATTTACACTATGGTAAATGTGCTTACAGAGTTTAAGATAGCTGAGACTAAAACCCTGACTACCATCAAGCTGTTGGTGTATAGACTTTGACACCCCAAAAGTGTCTGTCACTTGTTTGTGACCCTGATACATCACCCCAGCAGTGAGGCTTCATCTGCATTTGTTGATTATTGAATGTTTTTGTTCTGTATCATCTCAGATTGACATAGCATTTTTTTCATTTATTTATTTACATTCATAGTTTAAGTTGTGTGTCCTAACAGATTGCTGGATTTGGTGGTTCGTCCTGTTCCTTCCTGTTCTGTGGCACAGGATGAAAGCTGGCAGACACCGTGCAGAGCTTCTACTTCTTTTGTGGTATCCAGCCCACTGAAATCAAAGACACATCGCTCTATCTCACAAAAGAATTCTCCAGGAGCATCAAAGCTGAATTTACTGGAGACTCCTCCTGTGGCTAAGGTTTGTATTTTAAAAAGCTGCTATCAACCAAACCAAACCAAAAACATACTGGAAACAGTAAGTTGGGAACAGTCTTGAAAAAGGAAGTTTAGTTCTCAGTTAACATCAGTTTGTCCAATAGCTTTGAGAAATACACTTATTTTTATTGCATAGGACAAGGTAAATTAAACTTGGACTTTTCAATCTACAGTTAGCTATTTAAAAGATGCAATTTGTAGCTTAACTCTCTTAGTATTTAAGTGCTCAGTAGCTCTGTGTAGTTTGACATGCATTTCTAGAAGCCACATATGCATGCTTCAGATTCTTAATACAGTTACGTTATTGACAACTAAGCAATATCAGCCAAGTGTCTGTCAAATTCAGTGATCACTTTTTGCAGTAATTTTAGTTATCAGTTGTTTGTGTTAAGCTGCATTTCTATTCAGTGCCATCAAATTGATACCATGCAAGGCAATAAAACCTGACTTAATCTTTTTGCATTTGCCTACCTGAACAAAAGCCTTGTGACCTTTCTCCTGTTACAAAATATCACCCATATCCTTGAACTAGCTTCTTCCTCCTCCTTTTAAACCCTTTCAATACTGTAAAACATTTCTGAGCCAACTTGAGAAGGCCTGAACACTTCTACATGAAGATGTGTAGGTATTTTTATAGCAGTCACTTCCTTTCATGTTGTGCACAGCTGAATTAGTGAAGAAATAAGCTGCGGCCGCTGCTTTGCTGAGTTGCCGTGCTGGACACAGCAACTGGAAATGCTCCCTGTGGAATAACATGTTGTGTGCCTTTTGGAAGAGCAGTGTAGAAATTGCAAAAATTACTGGGATAGGAGATAGCACTGCAGACAAGAAGATGCCATATTCTTGTTTCTTCAGGAAATTAATTTGAAAAATACCCTTCTTGTTGTCACGACCAAAACTTTAAACTCTGGGGACATAATTGTGTTTTACCCTGCCAGACACAGAGTGGGTCACTCTGTGTGGGTATGGAGTAGTGCAGAAGGCACTGCAATGTGATGATCAGTGCCAGTTGCCTACACACCTTGTCTTGTAAAACTGCCCACTGTCCATGAGCGGTGGCACATTGTTAGTCCTGAACGGAAATACCAGAAAGGGAGCCTGGGAATTGCATACACTGACTGCTCTGATCTCTGTCCCTTAAATGAATGAATTTTCATCTCTAGTAGAGAGTACATTGTATGTTTCTAACTTTCAATGTGGCAGTGATCTGAAAGAAAAAGCAGCTTTTCAACATCTTCAGTTTCATCAGTGTGAAGTTTGTTTGGTAAGGAATAAAGTATTAACAGGCATTTTTTAACTTTAGGTTATTGAAGACAGTGCAGTGAAGGCATAAAAGCTTAAGAAGCAGCACCTAAACCACCATTATATGGTGAACTACATCCATAAGGCAATCTTCAATACAGCTATGATACTATAAAGCATCAGTTTTTATGTGGTTTGCCTGATAATAAAAATGGTGAATGTGATGCAGCTGAGATAGAGACCTTAATATATCTCAGACTAATTTTCGGAGGTTTTACAAGATAAAAAAAAAAAGCACCTCTGCAGAGAAAAATAATTTAATGTATTTATCACTCACAAAAATCAAGAAGGCTACCTTTCAATATTTCTGTAACTCAAGGCTTCCATTCCCTACCAATCCATACCCAGAGAGCAGGATAACCCGATATGACACTGTCATAGTTATGCTAGCAGCAAAAAGCAGACTCATCAGTTACAGTATCAAGTAGTATGAAATAGGCCAGTGCACCTAGAACCTGGATTGCATCAGGTCAAACAGCTTCCAAAATGATCAACAGAACAAGCCTCCATCATTACAATGTGCAAAAGCACAATACAGTTTATTACTACTTACCTAACTATAGAAATCCTAACACACAGATCTGCACTAAGAACAGTTATTAAATAAAGATTCATTGAAAATTACATTAAAGACATGCCAAACACAAGGAGTAACTACTGGTTCCATCTGCTAAGGCACTTGTATTCCCAGGCCTGCCTGCTTTACATAGTTGCAGAAGGGGTGAAGTGAGGCGGCTATGGTTACTTGTGAAGCAGACACTAGAACTGGTCCACTAAGTAGGAACCTGAAAAACTTAAGATGAACGACATTAAAATTCTAGAACTAGTACCCAAGAAGTTACCAATTTAATATGTCTGTGAATTAAAACTTAATACCCACCCTTTAGAGATTTTCTCACTATAGCAAATAGTATTATACATTTAACTCAAATTTTCTTCTGTTTCTGCTGCAAACAATTGCACAGTGAAACTATTTTATGATTAGGCTTTTGCAGCCAAATGAGTTTTATTGGAGTTAGACCCAGTAAAGGTGTTAATTCATAGTTATGTTTTGTCTTCAGACTTCAGGCTTGCTAATAACAGAGAACTCAACACCACATCTGTTGAGGCGATCAATCAGTTTTGTTTTGGAGAAGGCAGCTCCCGGAGAATATACACCACCCCTGTTAGTGAAAAGAGAAAAACATTACTGGTACAGTGATTGAGGGACACCTTTTTGTGAAGTTAAAAATGTGCTTCCATGATTAAGAAAGAAAAAGCCACTTTGTCCCAGAACAGAGTAGATAAGAAATTTGGCAAGATGGTTATAATTATAGATTCATTTCTGCATCCAGCAAACCCAACAGAAACCATTCCATTAACTGAACATATAGACACTGATGCAAAAGCCTGACTAAAAGCCTATGACTACATCCTTTCAAACTGAAAGACTGGGAAAGACCAAGTGGCTTTAAATCAGCCTGTGGTGAAGCATCTCCCTTGCACAGCCAGTTGGGTGAGGTAACACAGAAATCCACGGGGTTGATACGCATATTTTCAAACAGAAATATTTGCACACAGTAGCTTTAAGGAAGAGCAAGCTACTGAGAATGGGAAAGTACTTACCGTTTAGGTAGAGAAGGTGCATCTTCCAGAAGAGATACAGCTGCTTGAACCATTGCTATAGGTGTAGCAACATATCCAGGCTCTGGCAAACAAAACAAAACAAAAACCCCAAATGACATACAGTGTGTTGAAATGTAGAATGTAATTTTGTTCTTCCCTACGGCATTCAGAAGAATAATCTCTTTGGCAATGAAACGGCCTTCCCCATCTAAGAACAGCGTTTTTTATCTAGTAATCAGCCCAAGTAGCTGGTGAAGTCCTTAAGATCTAATCCAGACAAATACTGCTTCACATATAGGTCTATAACCACACCACAATCATTGAGTGTCTACATCATGGTGAGAGAGGGCTCTCCGATACAACAAGAACTTACTCCATTCTGTGCCTAAATTCAGACCTTTGTTGTGAGATGCCTGAATTCAGCTACATCTCTAGTTATTTAAAGAAGCTATGCTACATTAACTCCTTTCTGAATGTAGATTCTTGCTCTCTCCAAACCATGTAGGGTGTCGTCTCCCCTCAAGGAATGACCTAAAGAGAAGTATGCTATAACTAGAAATTATACCACACCAGACTTGGTTAAGTTCACTCCCAGAGAACTGGAAAAAAAACAAGTAGTAAGTCCAGGCTATAACAACTGAAAACTATCCTTACAGCCCTCTCCCTTCAACGGCTCTACTCGGCAAACATGAGAATTGGAACAGGGAAAGTCAGAGAAAGATAATGACAAGAACGCAAATGAACTGGCCATTTCAAAAACCAAGTCACAATGAATTCTAGTATCTAGTAATACACTGTAAAACCTGTGACTTTGTTCATGTTGCAAGTCCTTCTCAAGGGTGAAAGAGACAGCAGTGGAATCATAAACCTATTTTGGAGCAGGCAAAAGCAGTTAGCTGCTACTAACATACATACCTGGTCCTTTCACTTCAGTGCAGATCTTCACATTTGGTTTGCCACTCTGGGGATCTTGCCCCTCACTGTAACCCTCACCAAAAAAAGTCATTGTAAAAGAGGTTCCATCCATCTATAGTGAACAAGACAAGCATAGTCACCAAGACAGTAACTCACCGATATCAGGCAAACACAAGTAGTAAATATAAGTATCCAAATTCTATATACAGAATTCTGCCAAATACTATAATCCATTTAAACATGAGAGCACTTATTTTGAGTTATTGCTTAAAAGGTATAATCTCATGGCAATTTTTAATTGCTTCCACTTTGTTGGAACTGTTCTTCTTCTGAAGTCTGTATTCTCTCAGTGCTTTCAGTCCTAGGTTTTTGCTAATCGGTCTCCCTCAGTCATCACCTTTGATAGAGTGCTCTGAGCCACCCATGTAAATACATCAGGCCCAGCAATATTATCCATTTATTCCTCATAGGAGTTACACATACTCTGATGTCTAATAACAGAAGGCATGATTATGTAAATATTCTATAACTATCTCAACAGGCACACAAAATGTGCATTTGGGCCTAGAGGGGAAGCCGTATGAGGAGCAGATGAAGTCACTTGGTCTGTTCAGCCTGGGGAAGAAAAGACTGAGGGGAGACCTCATTGCTGTCTTCAGCCTTCTCATGCAGGGAAGCAGAGGGGCAGACACTGATCTCTCCTCTGTGATGACCAGGACCCAAGGAAATGGCCTGAAGTTGCATCAAGGGAGGTTTAGGTTGGAAAAAGATTCTTCACCTAGGTGACTGAGCACTGGAACAGGCTCCCCAGGGAAGTGGTCACAGCACCAAGCCTGACAGAGTTCAAGAAGAGTTTGGACAATGCTCTCAGGCACATGGTGTGACTCTTGGGGCTGTCCTGTGCAGGGCCTGTGTTGGACTTTGATGATCCTAGTGGGTCCCTTCCAACTCAGAATATTCTTTGATTCATTTAGAAATTATTTCTCTGAGACTAAGCAGTTGATTCTAATTTACTATTCCACTATTACCATAACAAATGTACTGAACAACTGTGATGGAAAACAGTCAGTTACCTGTTTCTGGGTTGGTCCTTTCTTTGTGAAACGTCCAGCAGAGAAAAATTCTGGGTACTACATGATGAGAGGGGAGGGGGGGGAAAAGACAAAAAAAAGACCAACAGTAAACTAGAGAGAAAAAAAAAATCTCCAAACACTAAGTTATTTTGTGTTTTGAAAACTTACTTTTGTCAGAAGTTTTCTTCCAAAGTTAAACTTCACCAGAAGAAGAAATAACATGCCAGCAAACATCAGCTTGATAACAGAGCCAAGACCACCTACATTCACATAAGCACCATACTGGACCTGAAGCAAAAACATATTTTCACTGATAAGATTTACATTAAATTTTTTGCATTAAAATGCATTAAATTTCAATTTTTAAAAAATTAATCTACCTCAAATTAAGATGCAGTTGTTTCATAGAACAGATAGCAGTTTATAATAGGGCCTTAAACAAGTGTCTTAGTTCTAAGCAACTCTCTGAAGAATGCTTCACTTTGTCATTCATTCTGAGAAGATAATATAACTACAGAGTGGTGAGGGAGCAGGCATGGTAAATAAGAACGGACAATTTTACAGAAAGATATGTTTTTGGTATCTGATTTCAGCCTTCTTTCCTAGATCCTCCTTTCCTTCTCTTTATCCTTTTCTGTAAGATAAACTGAAATAGCAATGGCAAGCCTTTCTCATTAGTAGCTTCCAAGGATATTTTTAAAGCACTGTCTCACTCTCATCTCTTAACTGATGCGTGTGATTCTGCACAGCAGTTATACAGACTATTGGTGCTGGTGTTCTCTCAGGAAACCATGAAACACAAACATTAAACATCTTTTCCACCACCATCACTTCACACTGCCTTTACTCTGCACACTGGAGACCCAAGCATCAAAGTCTTAAAATATAAATGAGCAGCAGCATATGAATTCTTTACCAGAGAATTTACTACACTATACGCTGACCTAGCTACAGCTACGCAGACTAAAATTATGATCCTTTTAGAAGCTCTACTGGTACAACAAGAAAAGCCTCGGCACAGAAACAGAAATTAATGCATTTAATGCAACTTTTCAAATGTGACTGTGACTCATGGTTTCCATTCCCTACAAATACATATCCAGAAATCAGAGAGCAGGGCAACCTTACAAGACACTTTCATAAGTATCATGCTGGCAGCCAAAGGCAGGCTCATCAGCCCCAGTATAAAGCATGGAACAGGCCAGTGCACCCAGAAGACATAGTACACAAATAACAGTAACTTACAGGTGTTTCCTGCAACTCTGTGTGCAAATAACGCTGAGTCCGTTTCACAACAGAACCATCAGATCCCATGAATGGAATAGAGTATTCTTTGAATTCCTGATTGTAAAACAAAAATCCTCTGCAAATGGAAAAAAAATAAAGTCATTAAAAAATGTTCCAATGTTTGTGCAAACTGAAAGAAACCGATCACACTGGCCTTACCATTATCAGCTTTCTCTCAAGCATTTTTATGACATTGTCTCTTTTCAGTGAAAGCAAACAATGCCAAATTTATCCCTGGCTCACTCAAAATTCCATGCACTGTAGCAAGGATGAATTTGATAATC